TTGTGTGTGTATTTGACGCCTCCCCTCACTTTCTCCCTCCCCCTCTCTCTCTCTCTCTCTCTCTCTCTCTCTCTCTCTCTCTCTCTGTGTCTCTGGCGTGGGCTCAGATCTGCAGTGGTTTATTCAGTCATTCAGTCGGGTCGTGTTGCTGCTCTGCATGCTCACTGCATGCACGTGTGTTTGCTTGCCCCGGCTGGTATGCATAGACTGGAAGGAGGCTGCAAATGTTTCCTTAGGAGGAGATGCGGTCTCGTGCAGCAGCCCTGTGAGGCGGATCTGCCCTGCGACGGCTCTGCTAGGACACTTCCTCTGTAGACCTCTGAGTGTGAGCGCTACTCTTAACAAGTGAGTCTGCTTTCAGGATGGCAACATGCAGCGTTTGAGTGCGTTTGTGCTGGTGCGGATCATCTTAAGGGTTCTGCGCTTTGTCACCCAAAGCCAAATGACCCGAACACACAGGTGGGATGGATTGGCTGGTGCTGGACTGACATTGGTGTGATCCGTGTGGGAATTAATTGTGTGGGGCATAAGTGCATTTGGGGATTTGGAGTATGAGATGTGTCGTCTTTGAAGAGCCAGATGTGTGTTTGTTGTAATTTGGGGGGAAAATGGTACCCAGACGTGAGCTAAATGTGGCAAACTCTCCCTTTGGGGAGGTTATCGAATGATTTATGAATAAAGTGCATGATATGTTTTGAGTCCTAGCATGCAGAAAGTTTCTTTGAGGTAGTCTGGAGTCAGAATTAGGTTTATATAAACAGCAGATGTGTGCGGTATGTCTTCTTTTAGGTAGCAAGGTAAGTGTGTGTATGTGTTTGTGTCGGTGTCATGTTTTGAGCATGCACGCTTCCTCCGGTGACGAGGGGAGGGCATGATCAGAAGTTTGTGTTTAGCCTCTGACACACACACACACACAGACACAGAGAGAGTGAGAGTGGCAGCAGCAGCTCATTATTAATGTCAGGAAACTTCACTTTTATCTTTCTTCTTTCTCTCATTTCACTTGCAAAGCAGAACAATGTTGATATTCCTCAGACATTCTGGTGAGCGTTTGTTCAGTGTTCAACTACTGGATTTAATTCTGTTTGAACTGTTTAATGTTCTCCATTTAAAGCGCTTCTTTTGTCTGTAATTTTAGTGTTGGTTGTGCTAAGTATGAGTGGTAAACTGGATTTACATCACATCGATATGAATGTTAATTTTATTATATATAATCCTATTTGGATATAGATTCTTATATATTATATATAGATAATCACTATATATATATATATATATATATATATATATATATATAGTCTAGTTATACACACAAACACACATACACACACACATACATACATACATAGACACACACACACACATATATATATATATATGTGTGTGTGTGTGTGTCTATGTATGTATGTATGTATGTATGTATGTGTGTGTGTATGTGTGTTTGTGTGTATAACTAGACTATATATATATATCTGTATATATTAAATTGGCTAAATATTGGCTGATTAAGTCGCCTGAGCAATATATATACTTTCCCATTCCCACTGACTTGCATTCATAGAATGTTCAGCATTTCAAATGTATCCAACAGTGATGTCATTGCGATATCTATATGCACATTGGTCTTCTTTGCATAGATGTAACTTTTTACTGTTGCATGTGATGTTTTTCATGTGCAACTGATCAGAAGCAATATACTGCATGACATGACAGCGTCAGAGCGTCTCTGATGCGGCATTTCATTCACTCTCAATCAAGGACTAACACACTCACCTCATAACACATGTTTTGCTGCCTTGCAAATTGCTGTTTCCTTCAGGAAATGCTTATCAAGTTTTGTTATGTTCGTCAGCTTGAGGGACGAGCAGATTGTCCTGCTCCTTCTGGCTATAAACTATGAAGCTGTTGGTGAAAATGAGGGGCTGCGTCTCTTTTTTTCTCTGTGTTTGTTTGTGTCCACGCACATTTATTGCTTGAGTTTATGTGTGTTCGTAACAGGTTTTTAGACACTCTGTTTGGTCTGTAGTATAAATGGCTTTAACAGCTTGTTTTTTTTAGCTGTTGTTGTTTTTTTGTGTTCTTGGGTATCTTATATAAAGTATATGTGTGTGTGTGCATGTTTATGTGGTTTATGAGGACACAAATTTGTATAATAACATGGGTATGACAGGTATTACAACGACAAGGTGATTTATGAGGACATTTTCAAAAAAGGCAAACAGTCAAATGACAGGAACATTTGGTGATATTACGTGCCGCTCATGTTTGCTTTGCAGTGATTTTAAAGTGAGTTAGAGTTGTGGAGTGGAAGAGCTGAAAAATGTTGTTTGAAGGGGTTTCATATATATATATATATAGCCGTTCAAAAGTTTGGGATCAGTAAGATTTTTTATATTTTTAAATAAGTTTCTTATGCTCATCAAGGCAGCATTTATTTGATCAAAAATACAGAAAAAACAGGAATACTGTGAAATATTATTGCAATTTAAAATAACGGTATTCTATTTTGATAGACTTTAAAATAAAATAATAAATTCTGTGATGCACTATAAAATAAAATAAAATTTAATTCTGTGATGCAAAGCTGAATTTTCGTTGGCCATCACTCCAGTCTTCAGTTTCACATGATCCTTCAGAAATATAGAGGAGATTATATATAATTGATATGATATTTTATGTTATGTGGTCTCCATGTCACCATATCAATATCCATATCTGATGCTAGGGAGAAACAAATGCTTCAAACCAGCCTGGTGTGAAAACGCCCTAAGACTCTCAGCTCCATTTAACACATGTATAAATCAATTCCACAGCATTTCTCCCAACTGTCGGTTTTGGCCTGCACAGAGTCTTTACAGTGAAGAATGCAGCACGGTAATTAATTTTTAAGAAATGTCAAGGGATTTCTGTCCCTGTCTATGTGTATGTGTGTGTGTTTGAGTGTGTTGTAATTACTAATTAAGGCAGCGTAGAGGACTGCATGTCCTTGCTATGACCGGTTCTCTCTCAGCGGAACAAAACCAGAGCGATGAATGCATCCAGTCCACATTTATGTCTGTGTTTTCTCATTATATTGCTTGACAAAGCAGTTGTGTTTAAGCTGCTGCATCCTTCTGAGACCAGACATTTCTGAACCTTCACTCCTCCTAGAGCTTTCAATATAGTCTGTCGGCCTCTGTCAGTGTCTGTCCGTCTGTCTGTGGAGCGACTGCTAAACTTCAAGTCCTTCTTGACAAAACATTTTTCCATTTCTCTTACTCTTCTAGCAATCTGTCTCTTACCCACTCTGTGTATCTATCTATCTATCTATCTATCTATCTATCTATCTATCTATCTATCTATCTAACTTTTTCAGCATTCAAATGTTGTCTTAAACTTTGATTTTCAATTCTTTTTTGATTCTGCTTCATTACATTTAAAATTTGCATTCCAATTCTACATTCAATAATTCAAATTCAGGAATTCGTATGGAATTTAAAAAGCAACTGTAACATTGAAAGTTGAACAGTTTAGATAGAGTGACATCATTAATGAAAAGTGTATGTAGGACAATCTCCGGATGCGTTTATCACACATCTGCGTTCATGTCATGACCACATTCTCCTTTGTTTCCTCTTTAGAGCAACTTCTTGGGAAGTAGCAGCTTCTCCGTGGCTGATTTCCTCCAGTCCAAGGACCAGCAGCTTTCTCTCAGCCTGAGGTGAGTTGGATTGTGGGATGTGAGTTTTAGCATTGTCTGCAGGGCTGACTTAATTGAGGTTGTGCTGTCGTTTTATGGCGTGAACTTCATTTGCTGAGTTCCATGCACATGTGATGAGCTCTCTGGAGGTGGATGATGTCAGGCACCCACAGCTGATCAAACAGAACTGAGTCCAGCAGAAAACAGGCCATCTGCTCCTGTATTTGGCACATATTTAGTTGCCACACAGCTCGATCTGACTGTCCAATGAATGCACAGCTTGAATTTTCATTGTACACTCTTAAAAATAAAGGTGCTTCACTATGCCATAGAAGAACCTTTTTGTCTAAATGGTTCCATAAAGAACCTTTAACATCTGAAGAACCTTTCTGCTTCACAAAAGGTTCTTTGTGGTGAAAGAAGGTTCTTCAGATTATAAAAAGGTAAGAAAGAGACGGTTCTTTAAAGAACCTTTGACTGAATGGTTCTTTGTGGAACCAAAAATGGTTCTTCTATGGCATCGCTTGAAGAACCTTTTGAAGCACCTTTATTTTTAAGAGTGTATGGTAGGGCTAGGGCTGCATGACGGTTTAAAGCACCTTAGGGGCCGTTTACGCGGCAACGTTTTCAGCCAAAAACGGGAAAGTTTTGACTGTTCGTTTACACGACAATGACTTAATAGGGACTGAAAACGCATATTTTTGAAAATGGGTTTCAAAGTGCATGTTTTTGAAAACGGCACCGTTATCGTTTCCGTGTAAACACCCAATACAGGAATCTTTGAAAACGGTGACGCCATGCGTGTGCGTAGTACGTGTTAGGTATGTAGACATGCGCAGTATGTGTCGATTTTAAAGGCAAGCGCAAACAAACATACACAACAATGGCGGAGTACATGGTACTGTTGTTGCTGCTCAAGAGTTTGCTAACGCTTCTTCAGTAAAGTGTGGATTTACTTCACCAATATTACAACCAACAGCGGAGACGCATCATATACATCATATAATCGTCACTTCCCTACAGATACTGTTTACTAACAAGGTGACAGCGCCAACTACTGGCCTGGCATACTTAATACAGCGCTTTTGGCCATTTTTCGCGGATATGTGTAAATGCGAATCGTTTTGAAAACGTTGTCGTGTATACGTGAAACTTTTTAAAAACGCAAGGGAAATCTTTTCCGTTTTTGACTACACCTTTGTCGTGTAAACGTAGCCTTAGATTTATGTTATTTACACATCGAGGAATGTGTCAGGACATGTCTCAAACTGGTACATTTTAGTTGCTTTTCTGGTGCAGAGAATCGTTGTGCTTTAAATTTGGTACATCCAATGAATTTCGAGTCAAAACTATCTTTTTTTATATGGAAGCCCATGTCTGCCATGAAAAAAATAATACAATTGCGAGGTAATTGTAACTTTTTATCTCACAATTTAGACTTTTTTTCTAATTATTCTGACTTTTTTCTCAGAATATGTAAAGTCAGAATTGCGAGTCACAGTTACTTTTTTATTTTTAATTCCGTGGCAGAAATGAAAAAAAAAAAGAGATTTAAACTTGGAATTGTCAGAATTCTGAGTTTAAAGTAAAACATTAATTCACTGGATTAGACTAAATTTGATATTTAACAAATTTCAATTTAATGAACCATTGTTTTGTTGAATTTTCCAACAGAAACAAGTATATTAATATAAATACTTAAGTAATGGAGTCAATCCCTATTGTATGCTAGTTTGAATAGCTTTTAGGTAGTTAAGGGCTGGATAAGTGGGTAAATATGAAAGCTGGGTAATGTGAAGAAACAGTCAGGTAGAGGACGTTGTGTGGTTTAGTAGTCATAGATCTAATCTGCCAACCTAAAAGGCTGTAGGTTCAAAGCCAACAAAGTGTGATTCATTAACAGTGATCACCATTGTGCTCCTCCCAGTGGGGTTGTTCCTGTAAATGTACTGTAAATCATATTTAAGCAGCAATTAAATGACAATTTGTTATTCTAAATTAGTACAGACGGTGCAGGCAGGACACATTCATATCCATAAGCATCTGCATCATGCCATCAGGGCCTTGAGAGAGACCTGAAAACCGACTGTTTTGTCGCCTCTTTGTCGTTCACTAAATGATTCGGAATTCAAACAGCTGCTTCGGTGCGGTTATTTTTTCCTGTGTATACAGACGTGCTGGATCTGCTCCAAAACCTAGTGAGCTGTCTACGTAGACAGCATTTACCAAACGGCTATCTTATAAGATAGCTTGTTTTGGCCAAATTGGAGTGATGTTTGCTGGGTTGCTGCCTATGAAGTGCCCTCAGAAGTTAACTTGACAGTAAGCATGCAGTAAACATTAAGATAGCTTGCTGTGTTTTGAAGCAGAGTTGGTGTGTGTGAGGATCGCTGCTTAGTCATGATTGATAGTGTTGTGACTGTGAGTGACAGACGGAGGGATTCCCGGCACACTGCACCACAGATAACAACATTAGTTTTAATAGAGGATTGTTTCTCTTTATTTGGCATATTGCTCATGTTACGGTGTACACTGGCCCTTGCTTGTTTGTTCTGTTTCAATGTCGGTGGCTGGTTGTTTTCTCTCTGTCGCTCTTTCTGTCTCTCTTGAAACTCAGACTAGCGTTTCTCTTTGGTGAAGAGCAGCAGAAGTACAAAAGGACCGTCTCGTGTGTAATGCAGCAAGGCGTACAGTACATGGGGTCCAAAAGTCTGGAAAGCTATTTTTCTCCATATTGTACAATGGTGGACAAGTTGGATTGAAAAATGAAGGTGAATTTCAGATTATTTTAATATTTGGTTTGTGTCTCTTCTGCTTTAATTAAAGCAGTAGTGAAGCTTCAGCATGATCTAAGATGTTTCAAAGAGCATCTTGAGCTTCGCTGGAAGGAAGTATGACTGTCTGTACACTGTAAGAAATGTCCACTTACTGTATTTCAACTTAAAAACTCAAGTTCAGTTGCTGCCTAAAATTTGAAGTGTAATCAAATTGACTGTACAAGTTATTTCAACTTAAATTATATTAAAATGACTTAATAAATCAAGCTGAATCTTGTATAACTTAAAAAAGGAATTTGAAATAGGTTAAAGTAATGGAAAAACATGTTGCCATGACTTATTGACCATAGAGTGTATAAAGAGTCATGACTCTCATTTACTTGAGAGGGACCTAGATTGGTTTTGTCTGTGAAGTATATTGATGCATACATCCTCGTCTTTATTTGTTTGCATTATTTGAATAAGTGCTTTCAAGGCAGCACTGTATTCGTATCACTCAAACATTCTGGTCAAGGATTGTTCTCTAACACCCAGTAATAAACTTCTGCAATTAATTCAGCCTGAACCACCACTTTCGGTTTTGTTCAGCTGGGCTATTTTTGGTTTTTAAACATTGCACTTTAAAAGAAATCTAAAATGTAAATTTAATAGAATATTCGGTATTCATGATGGAACTACAGTGATGATGTGATTGTGACATTTGCATTCTGAATTGAATTGCTGATTGTCTTTCTTGCATTCATTTGTTTACTGAATTGTGATCAGTCTTTTTTGTTTTGTTTAATATCTGCAAAGTCACTCACATTGGGTTGAGTCTCACTGTCACAGTGTGATGACAGTGTCAAACCAGCTCTGATGCAACATTTTGTTTAGGCCTGAAACCTGAATTTATTGGTAACACTTTACAATAAGGTTTCCTTTGTTAAAGGAATAGTTCACCCACAAAATTTAATTTTGGTAAAAGTGTACTCACCCTCAGCCCATAGTTTCTTCATCAGAACAGATTTGAAGAAATTTAGCATTAGATCACTTGCTCACCAATGGATCCAATACAGTGAATGGGTGCCGTCAAAATGAGATAAGATTCAAAGCAGTGTTTCCGGGTAATATATGAGTCCATAATCCATAATCTTGCTTCCTCCAGTGAAAAAGTCATCTCGTCTGAATCAGGAGAGAAATATGAACAGATTAAACACCATTTACAAGTGAAAACTGTCCAAAACAGTTCTAAATAAATATGTGGGTGGATTTTGATGTGAGAGACAACAGGGGATGGACTTTTTCACTGGAGGAAGTGTTATTATGGATTATGGATTTTGTATTTTAGCCAGAAGCATCAGGTTAAAGTTAAAATGTCTTGACGGATTCATTTCTTACAAACATAGCTTTTCACGTCACAATACTTGTGGATTATAGTGATCTTTTATCAGCTGTTTGGACTCTCATTCTGACGGCACCCATTCACTGCAGAGGATCCACTGGTGAGCAAGTGATGCATTGCTACATTTCTCCAAATCTGTTCCTATGAACAAACAAACTCATCTACATCTCGGGTGGCCTGAGGGTGAGTACATTTTCTGCAAATTAGTAATACTAAAAAAAAATAAAATAAAAAAAGAGTAAGTGTTAGTAAATGCACTGTGGACGTACAAAAAAAAAACAATGAACAATTATTATTAACTAACATTAACAAAGATGAATAAATGTTGTTACCAACTTATTTAAAACTGTTGAGCTAGTTTTGACTCTTTGCTTTGAGCACTGCCGTTTCCTCAGGAAATGCACATCTTATTTCAATCTTGGCATTTTGTGTGCATTTTAGAAAGAACTGAATGCATAATTCTGTCATCCTAAACTCTTAACTGGTTAAGGGTCTGAACACTGTAGCAAGCAAGTAAGTGTATGTATTTTTATGCTCCATATACTGAGAATAATCTGAGAATGACTTTGCCTCGGCTTCTGCTAGTCTGCCTATCACAGCACTGCAGCGTCTCACACACACACACACACACACTTAAGGCCAGGCTTATTGCCACGGTGATGGAAAAGCCATCAAGTATCTGATCCAGTGAAATACAGAGCCCAGCAGAAAAAGGGATAGGTGCAGCTGTGCTGGAGAAATACTGGCACGTCGCACTTTACACAGGCTTCTGATGCTGCAGTCTGTGTGTGTGTGTTTTAGTATGGCTTTCTCTTCTCCCTCCCTAGTTTATCTGCTGCTAGTCACCACTTGTTACACACTGC